GGCACGGTGCGGGACGCCTGCGGCTGCTGCGAGGTGTGCGGGGCGGCCGAGGGCGCCGCGTGCGGCCCGCAGGAGAGTCCCTGTGGAGAGGGGCTGCAGTGCGTGGTGCCCTTCGGGGTGCCCGCCTCGGCCACCGTGCGGAGGCGCGCGCAGCCGGGGCTCTGCGTGTGCTCCAGCTCCGAGCCGGTGTGCGGCAGCGACGGCAGCACCTACTCCAACCTGTGCCAGCTGCGCGCTGCCAGCCGCCGCGCCGAGAGGCAGCGCCAGCCGCCAGTCATCGTCCTGCAGCGCGGCGCCTGTGGCCAAGGTACCTGCGGTGCTGCGTCCCCACCTCGCAGGGTCGGCTGAGGGGCCACTGGGCCAGCGGAGGCGCCGCCGGGCCATCGGAGGGGAGGTGTGTGTGGGGGCGACCAGGCCAACAGAGACGTCGCCGGGACTTCGGCGTCTGCTTGGTCCGGGGTGGCAGCGATGCGCGGACTCCCTGAGACGAGACTAGGGCCCGGGGTACCCGCACCCAGGAGCCACACAGCGCGGGGACTGGGACGTGTAAGACCGAGGAATGTGTGGGCATGGAGGAGGGTCCCCACAGGGACAGCATGGGGCGAACCAAGTCTCCTTCCTTCTCTCTCACCCAGCCCCTGGGTCCTTTAACAACCGTGCTTAGTCTTATTACGGACTCTTCTTTCTGTAAAAACTTTTACTTTTTCGGGGGAGGTCACGGGCGGGATTCCTGAACGATCCCCATTCCCCTCGGATGGCCCGGACATCAGCATCTCTCCACATCTGGCTCTCTGCCTGGCTTCGCTTTGCCTCGAGCTAACGCGCCAGAAATGAAAGTGGTCTTTTAAAAAAAGTCTTTGGATGCGGAAACCTGGCTCCCAGCTCAGGGCGGGTGGGGAGAAACGCAAAAGCAGGGGTCCTCTCTTCACCCGGAGCTGTCGGGGACTTGGGAAGACGGAGAGAAGGGTTCCGTGGGGACATCTTCCAGCACTCTCCAAACTGCCAGAGATGCTGCTTGTCCGCAGTTAGACCATGTGGAAAAACCAGAGTTCTGCGGTGGCCAGGCCAGCTGTTTCTACAGGGACCCACTGGCCGGCTGCGCTTGGCTGTGCACTTGACTGTGACCACGCGCTGTCTCTGGGGGCCCAGCACCGCCTTCCAGCACGATTGGTTCATGGAAGAGGGAGCGATGCAGGGTGTGGAGGGGCTAGCCCAAGTTTTTAATGGGAATATGGTCTGTAAGGCCTGCCAGGAGGCTCCGAGCCCAGCCTGAGTGTGGCTGGGATGGAGGGAAGTTATTGGGAGACTTCAGCGTCTGTGTGAGGGACTAGCAGTGGCCCTTGACCCTGAAGCTGCTGGTGGGATTTACCCAGCAGCAGACAGCGCCCCAGAGTGAGGAGGTCTGGGCAGCCTCGCACTACAGTGACAAATACCACAGGTGGGTGGCTTACCAAACAGAGGTGTCTTGTCTCACAGCTTAAGCCCAAACCTCCTGCCCTCCAATCCAGTCCACCTCAGGGAGCCCCTGTAGAACAGAGGGAAGCTGCCCCTTGGGTTTACAAGGCTGTCTGGTAAGAAGTAAGACTTTCTCTTGGAAACCTGACAGTGTAGTCCAACCCTGGAGAACACCTTCCTGCTTGCGAAGGTGAAGGGTCGATGTAGGACGGGAAGACGTTCAACAAGATGCATTGACACGGTGACTTAACAGTGGGCACAAGTGAGTGGGAGATGGTGCAGTGGTCACAGGACAGAGTAGGGTTCAGATCCTCTGTTCACAGGGCTGCTGAGTCAAAGTGGGCTCTTCGACTCATAGCAATAACAACAGGCTTTCGCTCAGCGCCAAGTGCTTGACCACTGGGCCACCTGGCTTCTTTCCCACCCATTAGAGGCCGAATGTTGGAGTTACTTTGCCTGTTGGCTTGGGATGGGGTGAGACTTCTTTCTCGTCCATTTGAGCTCCCTGGAAGCCTGCAGTCCTTGCCTCACCTCCCCCAGGGCATCTGTCTTATCGTGGTGTGCGCCCTTATCTCTGTCTCCTGCTCCCTTATCACTTAGATGTGAGTGTGGTTCACAGCAGCCCCTGCAGTGTAGTGAGTAACTGTGAGTCACCATCACTGCAGACAATCAAGTCTAAGGCAGCAGATTTGCTTTTGTTAAAGACACACCCTATCCTGGGCACCCTCCTTAGCATAAGAAAGAAAGAAACTTCTGAAAAGGATTGTACTTATGGGGAGAAGGGCTAGGAGGTCCACCTATTTGGGGGCCACAGTTCAAAGAGTAAAAAGGAGTGAGGCTGCTGCAACAGTCCAGGCCTGAGATGAAAGGTCTGTAAAAAGTACAGGGCATATTTTGCCCAAGCGCTGACGGCTGTTAATATGTGTGCCGCCTGCCGCTGGGGCCCTGGCACCACACAGACTTGCTTCCTAAATTGTTACCAGTGAGGCGGAGTCCCTTAAGGAGTGGAGGAGTTGGCAGAGCCCTTCATTCTTGACTGGACAGGTCACTGTGTGGAGAGAAACAGGCGCTCTCCACTGGGGTCAGTTCCAGTGGGTTCTTGATGGGACAGTGCAGGGCCTGGTGGGATGGAGAAAGAGACAGAGGGCCCAGCATGGAGTTCATCCTTCCCTCCTTCTCTCTGCAAATACTTGTGGAGCTCTGCACTGTGCCTGGTGCATGCGCGCGCGCGCGTGTGTGTGTGTGTGTGTCTGCATGTCTGCTTTGCACATCCAAGGCATCCATCATATATTTGGATGGATGGATGGATGGATGGATGGATGGATGGATGGATGTCTGAGTGGAGAAAGGAGTGAGTGAAGAAGGATCAGATGCTGATGTACACGCCTTGTCTCTTCTTAATGGTGGGGAGAGCTCCGAGTAGACCCACCCTTCTCATCAGTCACCCCACTCCTGCCTTCCAGGACAGGGGACCTTCACCCTGGAAAGGCCGGAAAGGTCCACTCTATCTTCAGCAGTTGTATGCCCCGGGCAGGCCACTGTGAAAGAGGAGATGTGGTACCCTCCCCCTCCTCTGGGTGCACGGGAGCTCTTTCAGTTTCCGGGGTTGGGGTGTGGCCAGGGATGGCCTTTGAAGAGGTTCCCTTTGAGTAGAGGCCTGGAGCTGGAGCAGAAGTGGGAAGGTGCTCCTGAGGCAGGAGTGGGCTCCTGGGTGTCATTAACCAAGGGGAGTTTGCGGGGAGTGGAGTGGAGGAAGGGGAGTGCAGTGCGGTCGGAGGTCCCGGGACAGGAGGGCAGCACAGTGGAGTCAGAGTGGGCCTCAGCGTGGCTAATAGTGGCAGCACCTTCATCTGTAAACGCTGTCACAAAGCCGTCACTAATGGCAGTTCTTGGGCCTGGCACACCCGTGGTACACGAGAATGAGACTGCCTGTTTAAAATATTAATGTGCAGTTAGACTAGAGGACAAAGCTCTGTTATCTTCCATTTTTCCTCCGCTGTTAGCAATTTGGGTTACTTTAAAGCAAAATTACTGATCAATATTTCTTACTTAAAAAGGAATTAAATTCATAATATCCCAATAAGAACCGATGCTGTTTATTCCATGCTAGGTGTATCGTCCCTCAATTGGTCGTCCCGACTACTTGTGGAGGTGTGCACTTTGCCTGTCCCCCCATGCGACAGCCTGGAACACAGACAATGCCTTAAACAGGACTTGAACTCAGGAGTCTGACTCCGGAGCCTGTTATATAAGCACCATGGTATGCTGTTGACAGAGTAGCAGAGATTATGAGCTGACCTGGCTAAGCTGCAGCTAAGAGCTGAAATAAGCCAGGGCCCAGATGGCATGGCTTTGGGATGACCACTTGACAGACTTATAGCCTTCCTGACAGGCACAGGCGTTTGAGGACAGGGCCTGCCCCCAGGGCCCCTGGTACAGCCCTTTCTAAAGAAAAGCAGAAGGAGAAGGGCCACCATGAAGAAGTCTCCCCAGCCCCCCACACACTGCTTTTGGGAGTGGAAGTCGTTGAGTGTCACTAAGTCAGAATGGACTCTCAGCTGACCCTTAGTGTGCTTTCAGAGGCAGTGAATAGCCCAAGAGAAGACTGCCCGTCTTTCTGCAGTGGAGAAGCTGGTGGATTGAAAGCACGTGGCTTGGGGGTTGCTAGCACAGCTCTTCACCACTAGGCCACCAGCACTCTTGAGACAGAGTTGACGTGTCCCCAGAGCCCAACAGCAATAATGCGTCATCATTCTAACATATGGACACAAAGCTGGAATCCCCAAGAAAGAGATTAGAAAAGGCTCCCCAATAGCAAAATGCTAGACTAGCTCCTGTTGTAGAACACACTCCAGGCAGGCCCACCAACCCCTAGAGCAGCAACCCAGATACACCAAGTTCCCCAAGCTGCCGTTCTGCCAAGGGGCCCCTGCTGGATGTTCTCGGGATGGCCAGGCCTGGCTTCATGCCAGACATCACATGTCACACATCACGTCAGTGGTCCAGGTGGCAGCAGGCTGACTTCCGTCACATTCCTGGTGAACAACCACTGGCCTGAGAGTTGTTTAATGGCTTGGAGGCCTGGGCTGTTTACAAAATCTACTTCAGGTTGATTTAAAAAAAAATATAAAATGCTGTCAACACACGCAATTACTGAGCGTCAGCTGTGTGCCAGATGCTGTGCTGGATGTTGGGGCTAAAGAAAACCAAGCCCCTGCCTTCCAGAACCTTAGGTATTAGCAGCAGGGGAAACACAACAGCCCTGTGTCTGCTTGTTAAAAGGTGTCCTTTGCTGGTGAGGCAGTTCCACTCTTGGCAGTTGGAGTCCATCGACTGTTACTCACGGCCGTGTGAGGGGGGTCTCCTGAGTGGGCATGCAGGGCTGGAGGGGGCTCCTTGGAGGCGGTTAGAGCTGGGACACCACCCTCCTTACTGATTCTTCTCTTGCTTGGTGAACTTCACCAAAGGGTCACAGTACTAAGGTTTCCTAAACTCATAAGCGGGAAGCTCAGAAGCCAAGCATCTAGTGACTTTATTCCGTCCAGAGAAGCTGTAAATAGGTTAAAATCCCTCCGTTCTCGCGGGATGATGGCAGCACCGTGAGCTCACCGCGGTCCCGGCGTCTGAGCACTTCACCACGGTGGGGCGGGATTCGGTTTGGAATTCTGGGATCCTGGGCACACCTCCGCGCCTTGGATCCAGAAAGCAGACTTTCCATGAGCTTATATTTCAAGTGAGTAAATAGTTTGGGTCAGGCTGACTAGTAAGAAGAAATCATGCTTGGACGGGGTGATGATTCCTGGGACGCCAGCTGGGGTAGGGACTGGTGATGCCAACCCTTGGCTCTGGCTC